ATGGCTGTGGGAACTGGGGCACACACACAGGTTGTCTGCTATGGTCCAGAACAGTGTCTTAAAAAGACTCAAAGAAAGGAGAAAACATTGACCAGAGAAATTAACCAGACTTCTCTTTCTTTTTTCCTGGCCTCATCAGGTGGATGTGAGGTTTCCGCTATCAATGCCTGTAGGGGCCCAGGACCTGATTTCCAAGCTTCTCAGATACCAGCCCTTGGAGCGACTGCCCCTGGCTCAGATTCTGAGGCATGCCTGGGTTCAGACCCATTCCCGAAGGGTGCTGCCTCCCTGTGCTCAGATGGCTTCCTGAGCCCTGTCTGCTTCTGTTTATGTTTGCTCAGGGAGATCTCCTAGCTCTGCCACCTCATTTGTCTTTTTTTTTTTTTTTTCTCTTTTAAGATGTAAGATGCTACTTAATAAAAGCTGAATCATTGTGTACCGGCTCCTCACAGTTGTAGGAATTAATATGTGACTGGGTAGAATCTTTATTTTTTGTGGGAAATCTTTCCCATGAGAACTGCCCAAGGTTGTTCTCCCTGCTGCCCCCACCTTCCACACTGGAAATGGTGACTTCATTCTCCTTGAAAACTGTTGCCTACTTTCAGGTTGGGCGCAGTGGCTCGCGTCTGTAATTCCAGCACTTTGGAATCCCGAGGCAGGTAGAACACTTGAGGTCAGGAGTTCAAGATCAGCCTGGCCAACATGGTAAAACCCTGTCTCTACTAAAAATACAAAAATTAGCCGGGCATCGTGGCAGGTGCCTATAAGCATAGCTACTCGGGAGGCTGAGCCATGAGAATTGCTTGAACCCGAGAGGCAGAGGCTGTGGTGAGCCGAGACCATGCCATTTCACTCCAGCCTGGGAGACAGAATGAGACACTGTCTCAAAAAAACAACAAAACCTCTTGCCTGCTTTCTACAGATGAATGCCCTGAGGGTATATAACCTGCTACCTATCACAGTGGCTCCTTGATCCACCTTACATTTCTCCATGTTTTCAGGAGTATACCATTTGTAAAACAGGACTGTCATCAACCCAAAAGTCCACTCTTTTTATGGACATCAATATGCTGCTGTCTTAGAAATACAATGTTTCTCTGCATTGATAATGAAGCACTCTAAACAACAACAACAAAAACACAGTGTTTCACTGCACATCAATGCAACCCAATTCTCAAATGAATACACTAGCACCTCTGAGTTGTGTCATACTCTGATTACATTAGAGTAAGTCATCCCTCATAATAAATATAACATCACCTCTTTTGAAATTATCGCGTGCTGCAATTTGGGGAGTGACCTTCCAGCCTTCTGTAACCTGTGACAGTTTTATGTGCCAGCTGTTCCCTGTACCCATTATAAACTACCACAGTAAGCATCTAGACCCCTCAGCTGTAAGTTCAGTTACACCAGTATTTCTTCTGACTTTAGTTGTTAAGCACTTCGTATGGAGTTGGTCTTGTTAATGTTATTTCTGTCACTATGTTCCACACAAGCTCCTCATTGTGAAATGTCCAGCAGTTGCAGGAATGATTTCTGTCGAGACCAGACCTACCACTTAAGTGTAAATAATTCAGCCACTTCACTCAGATGAACAGCTCCCATTATTGCAGACCTGTAAGTTAAATACTCTAAGACATTGGTTCATGGTTTTTAAGCTGCACATTGAGTATTTACGTGTCTTTTTTGTTTGTTTTTTCTTTCTTTTAGCTGCATGAGGAGACACAGTGCTTTCTTCTCTGTGCTTTGCTTCATCCTATCAGTTTTCCTGAGTTAACATTTCAAAAATGGCAATTTATAAATTAACCGGTTCATACATATAAACTCTGCTATTTACACATTTTAGTTGCTGGAAAAAGACATCACTGGGCAATTTTTGGCAAGTAAGGACAGAAAAATCACTAGGGCCTCAGCATTGACCACCAGATGATATATGTTTAAATAAGAAAAACTCTCTGACATACTTTACATGAGGGATTTAAAAGTGTCTCCAGGCCAGGTCTGGTGGTTCATACTTGTAATCCCAGCACTCTGGGAGGCTGAGGCAGGCTGATCATTTGAGGTTAGGAGTTCGAGACCAGCCTGACCAATATGGTGAAAACGCATCTCAACTAAAAAATACAAAAGTTAACTGGGCATGATAGCTTTGCCTGTAGTCCCAGCTACTCATGAGACTGAGGCACGAGAATCGCTTGAACCTGGGAGGCAGAGGTTGCAGTGAGCCGAGATTGCACCACTGCACTCCAGCTTGCGTGACAGAGTGAAACTGTCTCAAAAAAAAAAAAAAAAAAAAAAAAGTCTCCAATATCTACATAGCTTTCCTCACCTGGACTGATTACAGACATTCTGGTCTCCTGTGATGGAATATAAACATACTAACTTTAGTATCTGTTATGCATCCAAAGCCAAAATTAATTTAATCCTAAATGTCATACACATGTGAAAAGGAGAATTATGACTCCTCTAAATTGGGCAAAATAGTATTGTCAATGATGAATAACAGTGTTAACAGCTTGTATGCGAATTAAGCCACATTTCTCAATAATCTCATTTTATAAATAACACCTTCTAGTAAATTAATTCCATCTCCATTTCCACTCAGTTAACATCCTGTCATGATACTTTCACTGCACTTAAATCTCTGGAGGGCATTTTCTGCGCATGCTGTTTCCGTTTTCATAACCGTTTGTCTGGTGTGTACCGCGTCCCATGCTGCACAAGGGTTCAAAGACCTAAGAGGGAATGGTGGGGGATAAAGAAAAACACAGACACAAACATGAAGAAAGCTGGGCCAGGCAGTCCAGGAGTGTGAGGATGTCGGTCTCTCTGGCCCCGACCTGTTTCAGCATACTTTATTTTATTTGTTCACAAAGCACATAGCAGAGGGAGGGTGCAGTGACTTAGAACAGCCTGTGGTTATTATTCTCATACTTCAGTTCACATACTTCAACTAACAACTATCTTGCAGCAAGGTCAGTGAAAGCTGGTATCTCTCTAGGCTGTCTGCTCTACCCGGAGTTATACACATCCTCCTATGATGGTTTCACTTCTCTGGAGCTCACCCAAAGTTCACAACAGCTATGCTGCTGATCCCCCCAGAGGGGGTGGGCTACTCTGGCTTGCTACACATATGTACTGTCAAATCATTGAAAGCTGGATTTTATTCTTTAACCTTCATAGTCATGAGAAGAGAAAAAAGTCACCAATGGAGACTACTAAGGTTTTATATTATTATTATTAATTAATTAATTATTATTTATTTATTTATTTTTTGAGACAGCATCTTGCTCTGTCACCCAGGCTGGAGTGCAATGGTGCCATCTTGGCTCACTGCAACCTCCCCCTCCTGGGTTCAAGCAATTCTCCTGCCTCAGCCTCCCAAGTAGCTTGGATTACAGGCACACACCACCAAGCCCAGCTAATTTTTGTATTTTTATTAGATATGGGGTTTCACTATATTGGCCAGGCTAGTCTCAAACAGCTGACCTCAGGTGATCCACCTACCTCAGCCTCCCAAAGTGCTGGGATTACAGGTGTGAGCCATGGCACCCAGTCTGTATAAAGTAATTATTTAAGGATTATCATAATTCCTAACATGACTTTATTGCTTTCTTGTTTGCAACCAGTTAGTTCAGAGTTGTCAAAAGGCAAAAATCACAACAAATTTAGTTTTAGATACAATTGGCTTTAATGATTCATGAATTGGGGAAATTAGAGTTCCCAGTGGGCAGTGGCAGAACAGTGGGTTTTGTAAGGTGAGAAAAATGAAAGGGAACAATAGAATAAAAAGCTGATTAGTTAACAGGTTACTTTTTTCCTAAGGGTTAAAACAGAGGGACTTCCTAATTTCACTAGTTCAGACAGACTGAACTCTGCTTTTAGGAAAAACTGCTCTGTTTTGGGATCTGTCTGCTTCCTTAAAGCTTCAGTTTGATTAGATGACATTTAGTATGAGACTCCATTTTGGTTTGGTCGTGGGGCCTGCTATAGGAGCTCCAAAACAATGGCCTCCTGTGATTTTTGTTTAACGATGTTCACCTCTTTCCATTACTTTCTCCATCTATGCTCATTTGTGCTCCATCTATGCCTCCCAAAGCGCTGGGGTTACAGGCGTGAGCCGCCACACCTGGACTATTTGTTCTTTTGTGCCACTGAGGTCTTGCGCTGTCACCCAGGCCGGTCCCAAACTCCTGTCCTCAAGAGATCCTCCTGCCGCAGTCTCCTGTGTAGTTGGGACCACAGTTGTGCACCAGCACACTCCGCTTGTTTCATACTTATGTATATGTTTGGTACAGTCTCCCTATGTTGCTCAAGCTAGTCTTGAGCTCCTGGGCTCAAGCGATCTGACCCCTTTGCCTGCAACGCGCTGGGCCAGCGCGCCGCTCGGCGTCCTCCTTTGGTGACTCTGCCCACTGATCTGTACAAGAGGATTGGGACGGGAGCTAACACAAGGTGGAAGTCAGGGTCCGGAGCCTGGTCCAGAGTCTCTGTACCGGCCCTGACCCTGGCTCGATCTCCCCCGGCGAAGAATGGACGGTTTCCAGCTTGCCCCAGGCTTCCGAGTTGTGCCCCCGGGACAGAGGCAGGCGTCTTTTACGCCGAGGCCTAGCGGCTCAGGATGAGTCCCTTCTGCGAGTGTTTTGTGGAGGGAAAACTACATTAACCAGAAGGCATTGCCCGGTACGTGGCGGGCGCTGGAGCCAATAATGGTCCAGGACAAGCCGCGAAGCTTAGGGCGGGACTTCCGGCGTTTGGGTGGTGGCGTCATTTGAGCGCGACGGTTCCGTCCACGCCGGCTCTAGAGAGGGGGCGGTGGAACGCCGCCCCCTCCCGGGCGGCTCTGGGGAAATGAGCAGGTAGGAGGCAGACAGCGACCTCTGCGTCTCGGCGTGAACGGTGAGCCTCCCCGTCACGGGGTAGTGCGACTGTCAGCCAAGGTCACCGCGCCCTGCGCAGGGAAGGGGTGGGGCTCGGCCGAGCCCGCGGGACCCGCCCCGCCAGGGCTGCAGGGTCCCAGTATGGCGACGGCATTGACGGACCCGGCGCAGGTGAGTGGACTAGGTTTCGGCTTCGCTGCTTTTTTCCCAGTTCGGAGAAGCCCCCTGGGCAGGCTGGAAGCCAAGACAGTCACAGGATTCTCCTCTTTGTAGTTTTGTTTGTTTACGAAACGTGGAGCAGGCTCGTCACTTGGTTGTCTCCTGTCGTGGTGGTACCTGAGAGACTGAATGAATATTCAAGTGAACAGTAGCCAAACTATACATAGAAATAGGGCTATGACGTGCAATGTGTAGCAACCTTCCAGGGAAACCAGTCTCCTTTTCTGCAATAAACAACTCCGGTAGCCAGTCTGCCTTAAGTTCGTCTTGCAAGGAGCTAGATTACTCTCTGGTGACATTTCAGGAAACTAAACGATAACTTGTGGACAGTAGGCCCCAAATAGGACTGATTAATAACTGACTGTGCCCCTAATTTTTACCCCCGCTTCCAACAGAGGACCAAGAGCAGAGAAAGCCATACCTAGAGAAAGCCATACCTGCTCAGCCTAACCAATCACGTAATATGCCCCACTTCTAGTTAGCCCTTCTGTAGCTTTCCACCGCCAAAAGTGTCAGGCCACTGATAGGTGCTCAATAATCGGTTGAAGGATAGATGAAGTCCACCCCAGGGACTCCCATCACACACATAAGCCGAATTCTCAGCCATGGGCTGCCCAAGTCCCTACCCGGTCCGCTATGGCTGTCCACCTCTGTCCTTGTTTCTTCCCTTTCCTCCCTGGCTCAGCTCTTCAGACACACGAATCTGATCACCCAGAATTCTTTTTCATCCCTCAGCCTTCACCTTTACAGTTCATTCAGCTTCAGACACTGTCCTCAGATCTCTGCAAGACCCTTTGACATCTTGTTGGCTCTGCTCAAATGTCACTTCTTTGAAGAGGCCTTCCGTGGCAGTTCAGACTAAAAGTAGTCCCTTTCTCACCTGCCCTTGGTCTGGCGTTTTTGCATAGAGAATCTGGCAAAATTTTAGACAGCTACTGAGTTGAGGTCTTAAAGACTTTGTAGGGACAAAGAGCATAAATAATAACACAGAAACTGTAACGGCTTCATTAAGTCCTTGATGTGAACTGAGAGGTGGGCATTATTTATCATCTCATTTAATCCTGATCTCCTTAAAGTGACATTCTGTCCTCAACACTGCTTTACACAAGAAGAGGTCAAGACTCCAACCTGTTCAGTTTCCTGCCGAAAGTCACAGTAGTTAAGTAACAGAAACTCATATTTAGTATGTGGGCCACCAGAGCCTTTGTTTTTACAGACAGTTGGCTGAGAAGCCCTGTAGGTGAACTTTGCAGTTTTCCTCCAGCAAGTCACAGGGGCCATTGGAAGCAAAAGGCAGATAGTCAAGTAGAGAGGACTGTGTAGACCAAGGCAAAGTGTATTGGTTGTTTAAGGAGGTCCAAGAGGACTTGTGAGATTACCATGGTTTCCTCCATCCCCCACCAGCTGAGACGTGGCCTGGAAGAGCAAGATCCTGTGGTCTTTTGTTGGACATTCATCCTACCTCCACCCATAAGGTATTTTGGCCCATCATAAGCCCGGATTCTCATGACCACAGCTTGCGTTGTCCTCAGCCACTTGAGTTTCCTGGTCCTGAAGTTCACTGGCATTATGGATTCCTGCTGGCAGGACTCAAGGAGGCAAAAGGCTGATGGTTCATTATGCAGTCTCCCTGGGGTCCAGGGGAGAGAGTGAGCTGGTCCGGGCACTGCCACTCCTCAGGCATTTGGCACTCGTGAGTTTGGTGATGAGGGCTTTGCCCATGTCTTGGGAATATTTTCAGGAGCTGCTAAAACAGATTAAACAGCAAAAGTATGTAGAAATGCTTTACAACTTTGTGTCTTTGTTATCGTGGATTCACGTTGGTGATGGAGGATTGTTAGGGTCACAGTGTTAAACCCTGAAGCAGAGGGACCTGGGTTAAAATCCTGTGTCTGCTTATTGGATGTGAAACTCTGGCTGGGCCTGGTGCTCACACCTGAAGTCCCAGTGATGTGGGAGGCTGAGGCGAGAGGATCACTTGAGGCTAGGCGTTCGAGACCAGGCTGGGCAACATAGCAAGATCCCAGCTCCACCAAAAAAAAAAAAAAAAAGTTGGACACAGTGGCACGTGCCTATAGTCCCAGCTATTTGGGCTGAGGCAGAAAGATTGCTTGAGCCCAGGAGATTGAGGTTACAGTGAGCTCTGAGCATGCCATTGCTCTGCAGTCTGGGCAATAGAGTGAGACCCTGTCTCTTAAAACAACAACAACAACAACAACAACAAAAAATAACTGGGAGAATCTGTGGAGCTTCCTTAGCCTTAGGTCAGTGACTGTGACATGGAGGTGTTTGGTGGTGTTTAGAAATACTTCAGGGGCTGTGGGAGGATTAATAAAATCTTAAAGTCCATCAAGCGCTGAATAACTCATGTCTGTTACTGGGAAATGTGGGAATTCTGTATTGACTTGGAAATTGAAGCAGAAATGAATGAGGTGCCTAAGATCACAAAAACTGGCAAGTGTCAGTTTCAGTTTAAAACTTGAGAATTCTGACTTCAGGCTTGGGGACTTGTAGTTGCTTTAAAACAGAACATGAAGCCTTCAGCATGAGCTGGCCCAGTGAGGCTCAGGCAGTGTCGTTGTCAACATTATTGCTGTTATTATTTTCATCGTCATTATTTTCTCATTCCTTTGATGTTCTTGAACTGTAATTGTCTACATCTCTACATCTCACAGTCTACAAGTTATTGCCATTGTCTGCTGTCATTCTCTGATAGCTCCTGTATAGAAGGCCTTTCTCTTTTACATTACAGGAATCTGTCCAAAGCAGTGTCCACCTTCCTCCTTCAGCCTGGTACAAAGTTAGGCCCTCAGGAGGTCCTCAGTGAGTTGGGCCTTGATCTTGCAGCACCTTTGCCAGCAAAGCACATATGACAGTCCCAGGGCAAACTCTACTCCCTCTATTTGACATTTCAGGTGTCTGTGACCTTTGATGATGTGGCTGTGACTTTCACCCAGGAGGAGTGGGGGCAGCTGGACCTAGCTCAGCGGACCCTGTACCAGGAGGTGATGCTGGAAAACTGTGGGCTCCTGGTGTCTCTGGGTAAGGCCTTCCCTCTCCACCATGCAGGGGACCTGCCACCTCCTTCATTCCATCCTCTGACTCCACGCCTAACGGGTCAAGAAGGCCTCTCGAACCTGCTTTGCCTCCTTCCCACGCTCCAGTCATTTTCTAACTCACCTCTTGCTGTATAGTCTCCCTGTATCTCTTTGGGCAACAGGTAGAGTACTCTTTGGCTCCCAGCCAAAGGAGGTGTTGGAAGGAAACAGGGTGTTTTGCAGACCCCAACGGTAGGCTTTCCACCTGTGTGTTACGAGGGGCTGGTGTAGGAACTGAGAACCGCCACAGTAATGTCCTGGCTTCTCTGTCTGCTTAAGTCTCTGTCTACTCTGTATGGTTCTTTTCTACCTCAGCGACTTCAAGGGAAGAATAGCCACCCAAGGCTTTATGCTTTGTGATCTCTCCTTCCCCTTCAGATTTCTTGTCTGTTTCTCTGGCGTCGATGAGGCGTGCTTCAGGCAGCAGGTGCTGCTCTACCTCCAGCTCGGACTTCCCTCCATCTCTCAGCCACCGCCCAGCATAGACGGCCTCTGTCTGCAGGTCTTTTTTTGAGTTCCAGAGCAGGATCTGGCTGGGTGTGCCTGGTTGCTCATGTATCTGCTCCACAGCCCAGTTAGTGGTGTCAGGGGCAGTGGGATATTTTCCGAGAAGGGTTGGGTCAGGCAGGTCCCCAGGAGACATTTACCTTCAGTACCACCAGATATTATTCTAAACAACCCTTCAATCACCGTCACGTCTTCTGATTCTAAAGTTACTCTGCTGCAGCCTTGCTGGGCTTCATGCTATTTCCACAAGTGCCCACCCATCTTAGGCCATCGTATTTGCTGTTCTCTTTGATGAGTGTTCTCAGGGTAATGCAGCATTTCACATGGCTGCTCCTTTTCAGCACCATTGGTGCCTCCTCACCCAGCTGTTCCCTGACCACTAAATCTCAGGGAGGCCCCTTTCTCACCATAGTCTCTTACCTTTACCTTGTTCATGTCTTTCTAAGCTAGTGGTTCTCAAGCAGGGACGATGTTGATCTTCAGTGGATGCTAGGGTACGTGTGGAGACATTTTGGTCGTTAAAGTGGAATGATGACGTTGGCATCTAGTGGGTGGAGACCTGGAATGCTGCTAAACATCCTTATGATGCGCAGGACAGATCCTTTCACCTCCTCTTCCCCACCATTTCCCAAACAGAGCATTATCTGGACCTAAACGTCAGTTGTGCTAAGGTTGAGAAACTATTTTTCGGAGAGTGCTTGGACAGACACTTTTATGAGCTGGTACTGAGAGACACCCCGAGGAAGTCGTTCTTTTATTTCTTTTCTTGCCTCCTTAGCATTTGAGGAGAAGTCTGGTTTAGTGCCAAGTCTTAACATCCTGCAAACTGTTGGTAATTTCCCCTTTTCTGCAGAGGGAGCAGCCTTAGGCTCACAGCCCTGAACAAGCAGCATGAGCTCACAGGGACCGAACAACATTGTTTGTTTGTTTGTTTGTTTTGAGACAGAGTCTCGCTGTTGCCTAGGCTGGAGTGCAGTGGTGCAGTCTTGGTTCACTGCAACCTCTGCCTCCTGGGTTCAAGTGATTCTCCTGCCTTAGCCTCCTGAGTAGCTGGGATTACAGGTGTGCACCACCAAGCCTGGCTAATTTTTATATTTTTAATAGAGATGGGGTTTCACCATGTTGGCCAGACTGGTCTCGAACTCCTGACCTCAGGTGGTCCGCCCACCTCGGCCTCTCAAGGTGCTGTGATTACAGGCACGAGCCACAACACTCAGCCTTCTTTTGTAAAATATTGATGAAAGTAGGTACTACTCGTTATTTCTTTATATTAGAGACAGGGTCTCACCCTGTCACCCAGGCTGAAGTACAGTGGTGCAAGATCATAGCTCACTGTGATCCTCAGACCCTCTCCAGTAGCTGGGACTACAGATGTGAGCCACTGTCCTGCTCTATGAAGTTTCTGTAAATATCCTCGTGTAATCATATCATAGTAGGATGTTCAGTTTTCAAATATTTTAATGGTTCATGAAATGCTGGGTCTAGAGTCACTGAACCGGCCCCTCGCTCTGGTGGCTGGTCCCTCAGGATGAACCCTCCAGCTCATATCTCTGCCTCAGCACCACCCTCTACCGGCCGCTCTGGTGCTCGTGGTTTCCTCCTTAGTGTGGTGCTTGGGAGACCAAGGTTTGGAGCTAGAACTCTGGTGTCCAGCCCCAGCTGTGTTCTTTAAAAACTGTGGTTTTGGGCAAGTTACTGAACTTGTCTGTGCCTCAGTGTTCAGATGGTTCAAATGAGGACTTACCGTATTCGCATCCCAAGGCTATTGTCAGGGTCAAGGGTTATTACATGAAAAGGGCTCAGAACAGCACCTGGGAGACCAGGCTGTGTGCAGGGAGCCATTGCAATCTCTGTTGCCACCAGTACTGTTACGGTCATCTCATCACGATTATTGTCGTCAGCATCCTGGACCTGGCACTTTCTGGGCAGCGTTGTGGAGCTTTGTGGTTAAACAGCACAGACAGAGATGGCAGGAGCAGGTCCTTACTGACTCAGCCATTCACCAGTTCTGTGCTCTTCTGCAAATCACTTTACCTCCTGAGGCTGGGTTTCTTTGTCAACAAAATAGTGTTGATTATGATATGGACTTCCTAGGAATACTGTGAGGGAATCCTCAACCAGAATCCTCATTTAATGGCTGAGCACCGTGGCTCATGCCTGTAATCCTAGCACTCTGGGAGGCTGAGGTGGGCGGATCACCTGAGATCAAGAGTTCAAGACCTGTCTGGCCAACACAGTGAAACCTCATTTCTACTAAAAATACAAAACAAATTAGCCAGGCGTGGTGGTGCACTCCTGTAGTTCTAGCTACTTGGGAGGCTGAGTGAGCTGAGATCATGCCACTGCACTCCAGCCTAGAAGACAGACTCATTGAGTCTGTGGTTTAGAGAAAGAACATTATAAAACCTTGCTTAGGATGTTTTTTAAGAAAAAAAACTTAGATCAATGAAGACACATACCTTGAGTGAAAATAATCAATATTTAATATTTAAAGTATATCACTTTTCTCTAAGGTATTCCATAAATATTGTTCACTTTTGAAATGATATAATGCATTTAAATGCTTGACATAGTCCCCTGGACATGGTTATAGCCTATAAGTACTTGTTTTTGAATTACTATCAGGAGTAGAGATTCCATGGCAGCATGACATGGCCTGCTCTTGGTTTCTAGGTCACATGCCAGCTTTTTGTTCCCATGCACAGGAGCAGATTCCTTCTAAGATCTGGTCCCCATCCTGAAGTCCCAGACTAGATTGTAGGTCTGTATTTCCTTTCACCAGCATCCATGTATCCACTTTCTCCATAAACAGGGTGTCCTGTTCCCAGACCTGAGCTGATCTACCACCTAGAGCATGGGCAGGAGCCCTGGACCAGGAAGGAAGACCTCTCCCAAGGCACCCGTCCAGGTAGGAGCCAAGATCTGGGCAAGTGGGAATCCCAGCAGGTTTGAGACTGTGAGGAGGCCACTGGCCCTGGGATCTCTTGGGATGCTTCTCACTGTGGCTTCTCTAAGGGTTTGGGAGCCTTGGAGCCCTTTGACCTGTTGTTTCTCTGTTCTCACAGCCCTATCACACTTGTCACCACTCCTGGGGAGAAGTGAGGTGTATGAACTGAGATTGGTCCTGGGGCTTCAACCTTGTGGGCCTGAAACCTGGTTTCCCAGTCACCTACTCTGTGACCCTAGTGAAGTTTGTACATGAGCTTGGCTAAGTTAACACCAGCTGCTATATCCAACAAATTCCAAAATTTAAATGGTTCACATATAAAAATTATTTTTCACTCATACTGAGGTCTGTGTGGGTCAGCAGGGAATTCTCTACCACACAGTTATTCAGGACTCAGGGCCCTTATGTCATTAACCTGTTGCTTTCAGGATGTCCTGACATCCTCTTGCTGGTAGAGAATTAAGGGATTAAGGGAAGTCACACCCACTTCCATAAGTACCATCTCCCCCCATATTTCATGCATAGGAACTGGGCATTTGGCTGTACTTGGGCTCGTGAGTCTAGGAATTGTGGCTGAGCTGCCTGTCCAAAGAGAAGAGCAGATGGTTTGGTGAGCACCTACTCAGTCCACTATATTCAGTCTGTTCCTGAAAAATGCTATTAGAAATTATTTTTATTTAAAAAAGAAAAAAATATTGTTATGCCATTGGGCAGTTTGAAGATATAGTTATTTGATACATTAATGCATAAAGCTTTATAGCTTATGATAGTAAGCGACTCGTCACAATGTCATTATTAACCCTAAAGAGTGATGCTGTGTCACATTTTCTTCTGAACTCTGGGGAATAGGGTCTTTCTTACTCTCCCAGTTTCTCTTTCCAGTTATATTCTGCCTACCAGCCTTTCCCATCTTCTCCTTCCACCCGTCCCCTGAGTGTCAGTCAGACACTAAGAAGCAGTCCTTTTTCCATGTCTTCCTATATCTTCTGTTTTCCAAACCCCTCAGGGTGACAGATGACACCTGTCCCACATTCAGGCTGCAGGGGACACTGGGGTCGTCTGTCAGGTGTGTGGATTGGTGCCACTGCAGAGCCATGGCCTCTGCCTGCAGAGGTCCCTGGAGCTGCTCATCCAGTCCGTGAATGTCTGTGCACTCCCTTTTTAGCCTTTCAGAGTCTGTTCCAGATCATTCCCTCCTCAGTGCCGCATCTCCACGTGAAAATTTGAAAAGCACAAAACTCAACATGCCTAAGATGGAACCCATGACCATGCTCATTCCTGCCACCTCCCAAATTTCAGTGAATGGTTCTGCCATCCAGGCAGATTAGGGGACTGGACCCAGCCTCAGACCCTCTACCTCCTACATGAGTCCCTGCATCCAGCCATCTCTAGATCCTTTTGATTTCACATTATACATGTCTCCTGAATTCATCCCTCTACCACCTCCATCAGACCTATCCTTCCGTTCGTTTTTTTCTTTCAAATGGAGTTTCACTCTTGTTGCCCAGACTGGAGTGCAGTGGCACAATCTTGGCTCACCAGAACTTCCACCTCCCAGGTTCAAGCAGTTCTTCTGCCTCAGCCTCCCGAGTAGCTGGGATTACAGACATGTGCCACTGTGCCCAGCTAATTTTGTGTTTTTAGTAGAGAAGGGGTTTCTCCATATTGGCCAGGCTGGTCATGAACTCCTGACCTCAGGTGATCTGCCTGCCTTGGTCTTACAAAGTGCTGGGATTACAGGCATGAGCCACCACACCTGCCCTCCTTGTGTTCTTATTCTAAGTTCTTACCATCTTTTTTCTAGGGGATGTTAACAGATTTCCAAAACTTAATATTTGTATCTGCTTTATGCCTCTGGTCAGCTCTTTTTCCTGCATGGGTACTCCTGCATTCAGACCTCGTTCCAGACAATTAATACTTCCCCATCCACCAGTGTCTCAGCATATGACTGCTGATGATGTATCAGCGGGTTTTCATGTTGACAGTGTCATCTACTTACATTGCTTAACGAGCAACCCTTACACATTCATTTCAACCTCTCCTATCAGTAGCTTTTCTTTTCCCATGGTGGAAGAGGTCTTGCCCTTGGCCACGGTCAGTTTTTTCAAGAGTTTACATCACACCTTCTCATGGACATGTTTTCTTCACTTATATTCTGCCTGTTTTGTAACTTTATCCTTTCTGTACTCAACATAAAAATATGCTCAACTTCCTTACCCTTTAAGAAAATAAAACAACTAAATGTTCATGGTTCACAGTGTATTCCTATATTCATTCACTATCTGAGTATTTAATTGTTTACATGTTTTTATCCTCCATAATCAGTGATGCTGTGGACATTCATATATGTTGTTCATCCTTCACATTGTAGGGGTACATTTTTAATGTTTCTGGAGTGAAATAATTAGATTATGGACTATGCAAATGTTCTAGTTTGCAAGATCATTCCCATTGTTTTCTAAAGGACCTATATCAAAAAATTTCTCTCAGGAATTTTTAGACATTTCCATTGATCCGTATCCTATCTAGTACTTGAAACTATAAGGCCCCTCAGTGTTTGCTGATCAAGTGGATCTGTTGTGCTCTTTGATTTGCATTTTCCTCATTGGTAAGGTGGTTTAGTGTCTCATATGATTCTTAGCCAATCTGTATTTTCTTCTGTGAGATGTTATTTGATGATAAATACCTATTTTTCAATTAACTTGTTTGGCTTTCTCTTTTTGCTTTGATTTTTATACATTCTGCCTACCTATCTTTTCTCAGTTATATTTGCTGCAGGTATATTTGTCTAGTTTTTAATTTTGTCCTTCCACTCTCTTTAAAGTATCCTTTGTTCACTAGAGTTTATAGTTTCTTACATACTGTAGTCTAATTTATGGTTTATTTACCTGATTATTTTGTGCCTTGTGGAAAAAAATGTTGCCCTACCCAATATCAAAAAGGTATTCTTGTTTACTTTATCGTAGGGTGTAAAACTTGCCATTTGGCATTTACGTCTTTGTCAGTCCGAAGTTTGTTTTCAGTATGGAATGTGGTAGAATACAATATTTCCATTCCTCGTATGGGTAGCCAATTTTTCTAGCTCTGTTTCCTTAGTAGTCTCTCCTCACTGAGGTGCTATGCCTCCTCGCCATCTACCAAAGCTCCAGCTGTGTGTAAGTAGATTTCTGAACTCTCTTTTTCTTCATTCCCAGTTTGCATTATGTCTATGACAGTACCACGTTGCCTTATGAGCCCTTTCCTGGGAGTGGCACTGCTCTTCACAGCTGTCACCTAGTCAGAATCTTGGGAATCAGTTCCCCTCTGCCTCATCTTTCCCCTAGCCTCTCATCAACACCATCCACTCGTGTGCTATAGCTCCTTTGTATATTCTGTCTCCTAAGGCTGCAGTGTCTTTCCCACTTTGTCTTGTCACCAGTAGGACTTACTTCATTGGGTACCTTCTATTGGAAAACTGTCTTGATGTTTTTCCCAGGATTAGCCAAACTCAAGATTGAGGACACAGTCCCCTGGGACTTTCCAGTCTACCCAAATCCTCTAACTCCAACTGCAAATTCAGGGATTTCCTGAAACCACCCTCAGGTTTCGTAACTTGCTAAAAAGACTCATAAAATTTTCTAAAACCTATTATGCTCACAGTAATGTTTATTACAAAGCCTACAAATTAGAAGAGACACAGGATGTGGAGCTGGCTGAAGATGTTCCAAACACAAAGTTTCCTCAGTGACATGTTACCCACCCAGCAATGATGTGTGAAAATATGTGCACAGAGCATTACGAACCCCCGAGGCCCACTGAAGCTCTGGTTTTTAGAGTTTGTTGAGCTTTATTACGTACACACAGTTTATCAAATAATTGCCCACGTGACATTGCCCACGTTGTCATGTGGAGTTTCCAACCTTCATTCCTTTTCCAGAGTTCAGCTGGTATCTTGTGGCTCAGAGGCCTAACCTGCTACTCACTGGTTGGTCTTTCTGGTGCCACCAGACGTCAGCCAGAATCATCTATTTAGGATAAACTGTTTAGGAACCCATAATGAGTTACCTTTATATGATTATTCAGTCTCGAATTGAGGTGATAGCTCCACTCTAGTCCCTGCTCCCTCACCTGATCTCTCTGCTTGTTCTCTTTTTCAAAGAGTCAGAAATCCAAGGAAAAGAGAAGAAACAAATTATGTATCTGGGGTTCAATATGGCAAAATACAACAGACATAAAGGCACCATTGATAACTTCATTTTCTTTACTGAAGTGGTGATTTTGTTTCTTCTCTTTTTACATTACTAACAGGCCCTCCCGTGTGTTGGATTTCTTTCAGGTGACAAAGCAAAACCCAAGAACACAGAACCTACCACTTGCAAGCTAGCCTTGTCTGGAGGAGTCTCGCTCTGGGGCCAACTAAGACAAGGAACTTCAGGAGACTTCCAGTTGGGGCAACCCAAGGATCAGGATGGGTTTTCAGAAATGCAGGGAGAACACTTGCGACCAGGCATAGATTCCCAAAAGGAGACACTTCCTGGAAAAATGAGCCCCAAACATGATGGTTTAGGGACAGCTGATAGTGTGTGTTCAAGGATTATACAGGATCAAGTCTCCTTAGGAGATGATGTCCATGACTGTGACTCACATGGATCAGGTAAAAATCCAGTTATTCAGGAAGAGGAAAATATTTTTAAATGCAATGAATGTGAAAAAGTATTTAACAAGAAACGCCTGCTTGCTCGGCATGAGAGGATTCACTCTGGAGTAAAGCCCTATGAATGCACAGAGTGTGGAAAAACCTTTAGCAAGAGTACATACCTCCTGCAACACCACATGGTCCACACTGGGGAGAAGCCCTATAAGTGCATGGAATGTGGGAAGGCTTTTAACCGCAAGTCACACCTTACTCAGCACCAGCGGATTCACAGTGGAGAGAAGCCTTACAAGTGCAGTGAATGCGGAAAGGCCTTCACCCACCGCTCCACTTTTGTCTTGCATAACAGGAGCCACACTGGAGAAAAACCCTTTGTGTGCAAAGAGTGTGGCAAAGCCTTTCGAGATAGGCCGGGTTTCATTCGACACTACATCATCCACAGTGGTGAGAATCCCTACGAGTGCTTCGAATGTGGCAAGGTCTTCAAACACAGGTCATACCTCATGTGGCACCAGCAGACTCATACTGGGGAGAAGCCCTACGAGTGCAGTGAATGTGGGAAGGCCTTCTGTGAGAGCGCGGCCCTCATTCACCACTATGTCATCCACACTGGGGAGAAGCCCTTTGAGTGCCTGGAGTGTGGGAAGGCTTTCAACCACCGATCATACCTCAAGAGGCACCAGCGGATTCACACTGGGGAGAAGCCTTACGTGTGCAGTGAATGTGGAAAGGCCTTCACCCACTGCTCTACCTTTATCTTGCATAAAAGGGCCCACACTGGAGAAAAACCTTTTGAGTGCAAAGAATGTGGAAAAGCCTTTAGCAATAGGGCAGACCTCATTCGACATTTCAGCATCCACACTGGAGAGAAGCCCTATGAGTGCACGGAGTGTGGGAAGGCCTTCAACCGCAGGTCAGGCCTCACGAGGCACCAGCGGATTCATAGTGGAGAGAAGCCCTATGAATGCATCGAGTGTGGGAAAACATTTTGCTGGAGCACAAACCTCATTCGACACTCCATCATCCACACTGGAGAGAAACCGTATGAGTGCAGTGAATGTGGAAAGGCCTTCAGTCGCAGCTCATCCCTGACTCAGCATCAAAGGATGCATACTGGGAGAAATCCTATAAGTGTGACAGATGTGGGAAGACCTTTCACAAGTGGGCAGACCTCAGTCAACATCGAAGAACTTTTATTGGGGAAAAACTTTTTGAATGTCACCACTGAGGAAAATCTTTTGCAAGAGGAAGCATCTTACATGGCTTCTGATCAACCATACCAAAGAGAAACCCCACAAGTGTCTTCACTGTGAGAAAACCTGTTGCAGAATATTATGTGTCACCTAAGGAGACATATTAGAAAATCACACAGCTTAGAGCCTTATTCTCCATCTGAATTCGTCCTGGAAAAACACCCAGTGGTTATTATGCACTTAGGAAAACCTTTAGCTCCATCTTTCTCATTAGTTTACAGTGCAGTGTTATCTCAGGAATTTTTATAAAAAGAGGTGACATAGAAAAGAAAATGAAATGCAAACACTGCTTCTTTTATACTGTTGTCTTGTATGTACATTTCTGTCCAATGTCAGGAAAGTAAGGGAAGGTCTGGGAACATAATGTCTTTGTTCTACCACATTGTCTCTTGGGAAGCACTTGTTTATATGAGAGATGTGAAGGCTTGAGTTATGAAATACTTTTATATTTAACGATAAAAGGAAACATGAATGTGCACATTTTATTGCACCAGTTAAGACTGTTTAGGTCTTTGATTTTTAAAATCCTTTTTTAATGGAATTTGAACACTAACACTCAGAATTTTTCTTGATTCCTATCTTTTGGTTCACTTGATTGCTGTAGCTGTATGGTAAATCTCAAAATTGGGTAATGTGATTTCTTTCTTACTATTTTTATTTAAATTTCATTTAGCATTCCTAATTTCTTTGGCTTTCCATATATACTTTAGGATTGGTTTTTCTGTTTTTTAAATATTCTTGCTTCGATTTTGATAGAAATTGAGTTAAATCTGTAGATCGATAATGTTGGCAATTGGCATCTTTATTAGCCTTTTGATTCATGAACATGGCATATCTTTTCATTTATTTAAATACTCTTTGATATATTTCATTACTGTTTTATAGTTCACACAGTATAGCTCCTGTACATTTTAAATAAGATTTATAGCTTCATAGTTTTTTGAGTGATTGCCAATGGCATTGATATTCAAAGTTTCAATTTCACATGATACTGGCTAGTATATGGAAACATAATTATTTTTTCAGTGTTATTTTACTGTATTGCAACCTTCCTAAACTCATTGTTTCTTGTCATTTGTTTTAGGAGAATCCTTAGGATTTTTTTTTTTTTTTGAGACGGAGTTTCGTCCTTGTTACCCAGGCTGGAGTGCAATGGCACGATCTCGGCTCACCGCAACCTCCGCCTCCTGGGTTCAGGCAATTCTCCTGCCTCAGCCTCCTGAGTAGCTGGGATTACAGGCACGTGCCACCATGCCCAGCTAATTTTTTGTATTTTTAGTAGAGACGGGGTTTCACCATGTTGACCAGGTTGGTCTCGATCTCTCGACCTTGTGATCCACCCGCCTCGGCCTCCCAAAGTGCTGGGATTACAGGCTTGAGCCACTGCGCCCGACCTAATTCTTAGGATTTTTTTTTTTTTTTTTTTTTTTTTTTTTTGAGACAGAGTTTCGCTCTTGTTGCCCAGGCTGGAGTGCAATGGCGCGATCTCGGCTCACCGCAACCTCCGCCCCCTGGGTTCAGGCAATTCTCCTGCCTCAGCCTCCTGAGTAGCTGGGATTACAGGCACATGCCACCATGCCCAGCTAATTTTTTGTATTTTTAGTAGAGACGGGGTTTCACCATGTTGACCAGGTTGGTCTCGATCTCTCGACCTTGTGATCCACCCGCCTCGGCCTCCCAAAGTGCTGGGATTACAGGCTTGAGCCACCGCGCCCGGCCTAATTCTTAGGATTTTTTTTTTTTTTTTTTTTTTTGAGATGGAGTTTCGCTCTTGTTACCCAGGCTGGAGTGCAATGGCGCGATCTCGGCTCACCGCAACCTCCACCTCCTGGGTTCAGGCAATTCTCCTGCCTCAGCCTCCTGAGTAGCTGGGATTACAGGCACACGCCACCATGCCCAGCTAATTTTTAGTATTTTTAGTAGAGACGGGGTTTCACCATGTTGACCAGGATGGTCTCGATCTCTCGACCTTGTGATCCACCCGCCTCGGCCTCCCAAAGTGCTGGGATTACAGGCTTGAGCCACCGCGCCTGGTAGTCCTTAGGATTTTAAACACAGAAATGTCATTTGCAATTTGGGACAGTTTTTTTTCTTTCTTCGCATCTGTATACCTTTTATTTGCTTTTCTCATGTTATTGGACTAGGTAGGCTTTCCAGTGTGACGTTGAATATGAAGAGTGGCAAGTCATCCATGCCTTGTTCCTGATATTAGGGGGGAAATGTTCAGTTTCTCTATTTTTTTTTTTCCTACCCAAATCAAAGGGACAGTTTCCTATTAGTATGATGTTGAAAGTTTCTTCCAAAGAGTTTCCCTGTTGAGTTTAGAAAGTTTCCCTCTATTCCTAATTTGCTGGGATTTTTTTGTTATTAAGAAGTGTCCAATTTGTCATATGCTTTTTCTCCATCAATTGATTCAATTGTATGCTGTTACTTCTATAGTCAGTTGATATGATGCATTACATCGATTGAGTTTTGAGTATTGAACCAGCCTCGTGTCCTTGTGATAAGCCGTACTTGGTCGTGGAGTATAATTTTGTATATATACCATGCTACAGTATTTCATTTGCTAGTATTTTGTTGAGGAAGTTTTCCTCTAATTTCATGAGTGATAATGATAAATGTTATTTGGTTTTGATGTCTAGATGGTAAATAGCCTCCCAACATGAATTGGAAGGAATTCTCTTCTGTTTTTTTGGAAGATAGTATGTAGAATCAGTGTTATTTGTTCCTTTAATGTTCGATAGCATTCTCCAGTGACCAAGTGGGACCTGGAGATTTACTTTTAGATGCTTTTTAATTATGTATTTATTTTATTTAATAGCTATAGAACTATTCAGAGTATTTCATATTGAATGAATTTTTATAGATATTTCTTAGGGAATTGTTCATTTTATGTAAACTTTCTAATTTGTAGCGTTCTTTTAAATATTACCTTTTATCCTTTTGATGGCAGCAGGATCTGTACTTATGTTCTTTGTTGTATTCTTGATATTGGAAATGTGTCACTTATCATTGTCAGTCTTTGTAGACATACGTCAGTTTCACTGATCATTTCAAAGAAACAGCACTTTATATCTCTGGTTTTTCTCCACTCTCTGTTCTTAATTTCACTGATACCTGCTCTGATCTGTATTGTGTCCTTTCTTCTACTTGGCTTTGATTGTATTCGACTCAGTGGTTTCCTGAGGTGGATGTTTAGGTCACTGGTTTAAGGCTTTTTTCTTTTCTAATATAAGCTTTAAGTTCTATACATTTTTCTTACACTGCTGTTAGTTTGATCCAACAAGTTTTAATATGTTTTTGATTATCTTACTCAGTTCTAAGTTTTCCTGATTCCTTTTGAGACATCTTCTCTTAACCCATGAATTATTTAGAAGTATATTGTTTAATAGTGTTTGGAGTATTCCATGCTATTTATTTGTTATTGATAATCTAATTTGTTTTACATTTGATGTTACTGTTTAAATTTGTTGACTTTTTTCCTTATGACCCAGGATATAGGCTGTCTTGTTTTACATAGCTGCTTGAAAAAAATGTGGGTTCTGCTGTCGCTGGGTAAAGTTTCTATAAATGTTTGTATGATCCTGTTAGTTTGTGGTGTTATTTAGGTCTCCCACATCCTTGCTGATTTTCTGTATAGTATTTCTGTCAATTGCTGAGAGAGGGATGTTGAAGTCCTGAACTATAACTGTGGAATTATCTATTCCTCCTTGAAGTTCTATCAGTTTTTGCTCCACGTGATTTAAAGCTCTGTTGTTTGGTACATACACATGTAGGTTTGCTTGGTATTCTTGGTATATTGACCCTTGTATAATTACGCAGTGTCCTTGATTGCTCCTGATAATACTCTTATCATTTCTTTATCTAATACTTATATGGTCACTCTTACATTTTTGGTTAATGATTGCATTATTTATACTTTTTTAAACCTTATCTATATCACTATATTTGTAAGTTTCTTGTGAAGAGCATATATTCAGGTTGTGATTTTATATCCAGTTTTTTTGTTTTTCTTTTTGTTTCGTTTTTTGAGACAGAGTCTTGCTTTGTGGTCCTGGTTGGAGTATAGTGGCGCAGTCTGCAACCTCCGCCTCCCAGGTTCAGGCGATTCTCCTGCCTCCGCCTCCCGAGTAGCTGGGACTACAGGTGCCCGCCACCACACGCAGCTAATTTTTGTATTTTAAGTAAAGAGGAGGTCTCACCATGTTGACTAGGCTGATCTTGAACTCCTGACCTCAGGTGATCTGCCTGCCTCAGCCTCCCAGAGTGCTGGGATTACAGGTCTGAGTCACTCTGCCTGACCCCAGTTTGCATACTTCTGTCTTTTATTGGTGTATTTGGACCATTTAAGTTTACAATAATTATGTTAGTGTTATGTCTGCTATTTTATGATTTTGTGTGTGTGTGTTTCCTGTTGTTTTTTTCCTTCGGTTTTTTTGGTTTTTGTTTTTTTTTTTTTTAGTCTTCCATTTTTTTTAGAATTCCATTTGGTATATTTGTAGTGTTTTAAATACATTTCTTTGTATTAATTTTTTAGTGGTTGCTTTGGGTAGTCCACTGTACATATGTAACATAATCACAGTTAATGGTATGAAAAGTTTAGCACTTAGATGTATAGAAACCTTACTTCCATTGGTCCCTTTACCTTGCCTGTTAATATAATTGTCTAAAGTAGTTCCTCTTCAAAATTGAGCACCATGTTTGAAAATGTAATTTTTGCTTCAACTGTCAAATATATCTTACAAAAGTCACAGGGAGTATTGCTTGTTGATCTCTTTACCCATTCCATTATTCTTCCTTCTTGAAATTGTAAACCACCTTCTATTAACATTTTCTGTTTGGTGAACTTGTAGCCTTTTTTTCTAGGCTCTGTCTGCTGGTGACAGGTGTTCTTTGGTTTCCTTTCTCTAAAAGGGTCTTTATGTTCCCTTCATTCCTGAGGGATATTTTTGTGGGATATAGGATTTAAGATCTGCAGTTCTTTTAGTATTTGAGAAACACGTTTGTTCCTTCTGTCCACTGTGGTTTCAGATGAGAAATCTGTTCCCATTTGAACCATTGGTCCCTAGTTCGTAAGCGTGTCATTTTTATCAACCTACGTTCAAAGAGGGATTTTTTGTTTGTTTTGTTTTTTGTAGTGTTCACAAGTTTGGTTATGAGTTGTGTGACATGGAATTTTTTTGAGTTTTTCCTCAGCTTTTTGATATGTAGGTTTATGCCTTTTGCCAAATTTGGGAATTTTTAACCATTATTTCTTTAAATATTTTTTCACCCCTACTCTTTCTCCTCACTGGAACTCCAGTGATTTGTTACTGTCTTACAGGTCTCTTGTGCTTTCATTTTTACCCCCTTTTTCTGGTCTATTTTTCCCCTTTTTCATGTTGGTTAATTTCTTTTGACTTTTTTTCAGCTCACTGATTCTTTTTTCTGCCATATGTAGTCTACTGTTGAGCTTGTCCAGTGAGTTTTCATGTTGGGTTTTGTATTT